GGTGGTGTGCCTCTGAGGCTGGATATAATGGCGAAAATACGGACAAAAACAAGTAAAAGGAAGTGAGTATCCTCATAGTTATTATAAGTGCCGCATCCAACCTGTCAAGTTAAGAAGAAAGTGGAACCTTCTCATGAAGGTCACATAACGGAGATCATATACAAGGGAACTCATAACCATCTCAAGCCTCCACCCATCCACCGGTTGTCCATTGGATCGTCCAACCTACAAAGTGACATGCAACTCGAGCTCCCTGAACAAACTGGCCTTCAAAATGGTATGGATGGTGATCTGTTTGGGCAATGCAGAAAAGGGAACGGTTGCTCTCCTGAGGATTGGACGCATGACCGCTTGAGATGACCATCATCTGCAACGATATCTCCTGAGAATGGCAATGGACAGGCCCCAATACTATCACATTGAAGCCGTGATGCAGTGACGTATCATCTACCTTCTCTAATGATGAAGATGAAGATGATCGAGGCACTCATGGCAGTCTCATATTAGGTTACGATGGTGAAGGAGATGAATCCGAGTCAAAGAGAAGGTTCATCTTACCAGACAACCAGTGAGATTGATATCCTGGATGATGGATATCGGTGGCGCAGTATGGCCAGAAGGTTGTGAAAGGAAATCCAAATCCAAGGTTTTTTTTTCTCCTTTCAGTCATTGTTCGATATAGCAGTTTACTGTATCGACTGCAAATATAATGCAGAACATCATTCTCCATTGTTTTGATCCAGGAGTTACTACAAATGCACTATCGCTGGCTGCACAGTGAGAAGCACGTCGAGGGCGTCACGAGAGTCACACGACCTTAAATCAGTAATTATACCTATGAGGAAAGCATAATCATGATGTTCCGGCCGCTCGGAATAGCGGTCATGCCAATTCCGCTACTTCCAACCCAGCAACTGCCATGGCTTCTTCCATCCAACCATGCACAGGCCGGAGCCATCACAACTTCATAACAGCGTGGTTAGACCGACATCATCGGTCCATTCACCCTACCCGGAAGGCAACAACTAGGTCCTTCTCCCGGTTCTCATTGGAATGAATCAACCAGGTCAGCTAATTTTGCAATGGCCGGGTTGGGACCTGGCCAACCGAAGCTTCCGGTTCTGCCCGTCCATCCGTATGCCTCGCCAGAGTAACGAAATCGGTTTCAGGTTCCCGAAAGGAGAAACGAAGATGGAGCCGATGTCCGAAAACTGGTTTGGATCTATCCAACAACACATCAGTATACGGCAACTAATGAGTAGGCTGCCTCTTGGACCACAGATGTAAAATTCTCTTTTCAGTTCGAAGAAAAAAAAAGAAGAAGTTCATATATAAACGAGCATTTCACCTGTGCTCGTTCGTTCTTACATTATTATCTTAATTATTGGTGACTCGAAAACGCAAGTCAAATCATTATGAAATGCACTTGTATTTTTCCTCCTACTTGCACCCCAAACCTATCATAAACATAATCACGACTTACTTACACAAACAATTAATTATGCTTATTAAAACATGTACTCCCTGTACACGTGATGCATTTGCTCAATATAAAGAATCATACATCACTTCTTAATTAAGTGTCCCTAATTGAGTGATATCGATAATTAAAGGGAGTGTTCTTTCTTGAGGTTATGAGTTTGAGTAGTTGCATTATGCAAATTGTGTAGTTGTCAATGATTAAGAAAAATTATAAACAGATATTACCTTATAATCACTCCAAACTACTAAAAGAAAATCAAATATCCATCATGCATCATATATTAGTATTCTAACTACCATCAATCATGATCACATATATATTGTTTTACTTGAGGATATGTATGGTGAGTTTTGGTCTACTTGATTCAACCTGAATGTTATATACCCTTGTTTCATATGACATAAGCAATGTGAATAAGTCTCACCTTGACGTGGTACGACACATCTTGAGGTATGTTTAAGGCACCATTAATTTTGATATTTTATACAAGAAAACAAATGAATGTCAGGTAACTGGATATTGTGATGCTAACTACGCTGGAGACTATGATACGCGACGGTCGACAACAAGGTATGTTTTTAGTCTTGGATCATGAGCAATATCATGGAGTAGTAAGAGATAACTAACAATATCATTATCAAGCACCGAAGCAGTATATCGATCCACAACATCATTGGCACAAAAAAGTACTTGGTTGAAACAACTAATGGGAGATCTTCATCAATCAACAGATTATAGAAATAGAAGTGCAAGAATGATTACTTAGTTAATTTTTTCATGCAAGTACAAAACATATAGAAATAGAAGAGGATTCTATTTTTCATGCAAGGACAAAACATATAGAAATGCACTATCACTATGTTTGCTAGAACGTCCTTGAAGGGGAGATTAAAGTGGTGCCAACAAAGAGAGATGACATGACATAGTTGCAATATGTCATATAATAGCTATACCTGAAATTTATTAAGATTTAATGGGTAAAATTTAATTAATTTTTTAAGGGTTAATTAAGTGCAAGAATGATTCTTAGTTAATTTTCTCTCTCAAAAGATTGAAGGCTTCGGGCACCATAAATACTTTTCCCCTCCATAAAGAGAGTGCCAAATTGCTTAGACAAAATCGACTCCGAATTCGCAAGCATGGGTTTACACGTTGCGATGGTTGTGCACAAATCCGACTCGGTCTTTATTAAGCTAAGTTGGATCAGGGACAAACACAATACTATTAGAATTCAAAAATTTTAATTAATGAATTGAACATCCAACCTTTTGATTTGGAGTAATTTCGATCTCTGTTGTGTTAATTGTAATAAATCGATGTATAAATGAATGAAGCTTGAACTAATAAAACTGCATTCATATTTGTTTATTTACTTTTAAAGATATTCATGTTTAGCCTAGGAGTGTTCAAATAACCGAATTAATTCGGTTAACCGACCGAACCAAATTAGTTCAGTTAATTCGGTTCGGTTACCGAATTAGTTCGGTCGGTTAACGGTTAAGAAAATTTTTAGAATTTGATTAACGGTTAATTCGGTTCGAATTCGGTTAATTAACCGAAATTAAATTTTAAATATTAAATATATTATATATAACATATGGGCTCAGCCCAAACCATTTAAAACTCAATTAATAATTTAAGATCTAATAAATTTTAAACCTAAATCAATATTAATTAATTAAAAAATTATATAAAATTTTTATTTTATAATTATATATTATTTAAATTAATTGTAAACTGTTTTTTAATTAAAAAATATTAATATATTATATATAACATATGGGCTAAGCCCAAACATTTAAAACCCAATAATAATTTAAGATCCAATAACTTTTAAACCTAAATCAATATTAATTAATTAAAAAAATTATCTGAAATTTATTTATAATATATATTATTTAAATCAATTATAAACTTTTTTTAATTAAAAAACATTTAATTTTTATATAAATTAGAAAATTTAAAAAAAAATTCGGTTAATTCAAAAATTAACCGAATTTTATTCGGTTCGGTTAATATGTTTGAAAAAAATTCGGTTCGGTTAACGGTTAAAGAAAAAAAAGTTTGATTAATTCAGTTCGGTTCGGTTTTAACTGAATAAACAGCCCTAGTTTAGCCCGTATTTATTTAAATTTTTAATATTATATATGTATCCGTTCATTTAGTGTTTGCGAACATATTTATTTAATATTTACGAATATGTTCGTTTAACATTCACAAACATATTTGTTTAATATATATATATATATATATATATATATATACTCGCGGACATGTTTATTTAACATCCATAAACATATTTATTTATATATTTAAAAATTAAACAAACCCAATTAAATAAATCTTACATAACATCCACAACAAAAATAAAATACAATCTTTAAGATCCAAATTTTATCTATCGACAGAAACTCTGCCGTGGATCGCGACCCGTGGTCACGATAGTTATTATCTCGGCTTTAAAACGGAAAATATCGATGTCGACCTTGCCAGTACTATGAAAAAATTGTTCGGTGGTTAAAGAAAAAATTTTTTTCAGTTCGGTTCGGTTTTAACTGAATAAACAGTAGTTTAGCCCGTATTTATTTAAATTTTAATATTATATATGTATTTAGTGTTTGCGAACATATTTATTTAATATTTACGAATATGTTCGTTTAACATTCACAAACATATTTATTTATATATTATATATATATACTCGCGGACATGTTTATTTAACATCCATAAACATTTATTTATAATTTAAAAATTAACAAACCCAATTAAATAAATCTTACATAACATCCACAAAAAAATAAAATACAATCTTTAAGATCCAAATTTTATCTATCGACAGAAACTCTGCCGTGGATCGCGACCGTGGTCACGATAGTTATTTATCTCGGCTTTAAAACGGAAAATATCGATGTCGACCTTGCCAGTACGTCCTGGATTTTAACTGCATCAGACCGCCGTATACGGCCCGATACAAGCATGATAAGAACCATCTGTCTCCAGCGTATGATAATTAGTTTCGCTGTTGAAATGGATTTAGATAATAAGGGTATGAATGAAATATATTTGAAAAACTAGGATTTAAAATTCGATTTTATTTATTGTATTGTATACGTATAAATTAATTAATTTTATTTTAACAAAATATATCTAAAAATACACGAATCAACTTATCAAAGAATTGTCAGATGATTGAAAGTATTTGGAATATAAATTTTTTAAGAATTTTAAATTTATTTTTCATAAATTAGAATTAATCATCAATATTATTATGTTCTCTCTCAAATTATATTTATTTTAAATTTTCTCTTTTATGGAAGGGAATGTCTTAGAAAATGTAAATAATTCTAATTTTACAGATTATTATCCCTGATATTAAAACTAAATATTTCATAACCAGAGCTATAATGTTATGTATGTCCCATTTGGGGTTATATGATTTGGGTTAGAGTCGTCAAAATATGTCGAATGACATTCAAATAGACAAATACGAAGAGAAAATACATGAATAACACGGATATACGAAATATCGGATTTATATATCTATAACCCTAAACAATTTCAACTAGTAATTTTAAGTAAAACTTCATTTGGTGAAAAGGAAAATACCCTTACCAGACACCTTTTGAGCTATTAAAACACCACCACTTGATCAAACATATCCAGACACTAGTATTACTATTATTTAGTAATAGGATCAAAACCTGGCATCCTGGGACCGAGTCAAACCTTAATTCATGCAATTTCTGAGTCCATGAGCGAGCAGTGCTCTCGTATTTGGCTCTATCGGTCTTGTACATGTGAGCGATCTCGGGTACCAGCGGGTCATCGGGATTTGGATCTGTGAGAAGTGAGCAAATCGACAGAAGCACCTACAAATGTTTCCGAGAACAAAGCTCCTTAACAAATGCATCGAGATATATCATAAATTCATAAGTAGTAATAATATTCCTCGGCTTCATTCGGGGATGAATTGTATTTGATGATAAAAAGGCTATCAGTTTATGATTCAGGCAGAGTTCACAAACGGGGGATTGCATTTACCTTGGATATGGTAAGGGCAGGGCTCCACTGCCTTCAGAATGTCGAGACAGATACTTCCGTTGCTGTTGATGTTAGGAGGAAACCTTTGTTTGGAAAGAAACCTAAACTTGCAGACGTATTAACGGAACACCCTGTTTTTACTATGTAGTATATATGTATATATGCCAACTTCAGTAACAAAACAGAGGTACATGGATTAGATCACAGAAACGGATCATCAACATAAACAAAAAGCTTTTGCTGATACAGGCTCAAGGCATTCATATAAACTCCCTAGCGGACCAGAGTTTCGGACACAAAATCAAACGGGGTCAGAACATGGAAACCATTTAAAATGTCCATTTTCTAGCATACCAACAAAATTCTTATGCTTTCAAGCGTTACTCTTCTTTTCTTTCTACTTCCTGTTCAATAAAACTGTTAACTCAGAAAGGGTTTAAATCTCTCTGAATGTGATTATAACAATGTATTGACTTTTAGCACAAACAACCCACACAAAAATGATGTTGATGTTTCATACATACACACACACATACATCCATGTAATAAAACAAATCAGCAACTATTTTTAATACCTTGAGAGGTTTGAATGGATAGTCTGGGGGAAGTGAATTGCAATAAGAAAGAATCCTCCGTCCACACCAAAATGATGTTGATGTTTCATACATACATACACACACATGCATGTAATAAAACAGATCAACAACTATTTTTAATACCTTGGGAGGCTTGAATGGATAATCTGGGGGAAGTGAATTGCAATAAGAAAGAGTCCTCCAGCAAAGGACTGTCTGCTGGGCCCATGATTGTGCTTGCCAGTGGAACATATCATCACCAACAGGGCCTGTATACATGCAAGCATTATTTTAATGAAACAAACATTAAATTAAATATCATGAAAAGGTACAATCTGACCCTGTTCTCTATTCTACAAACTATTGATAGGGGTTTTATATATATTATTAAAAAAAAACCTTCTGTATCTGAGAACAACCAGTTGCCAACTTCACGGAGAAACAAACTAAAACTGAAAGCTTAAACCACTATATATATATTGAAGGTAAAGTCTTTGTACTCTTTTTATAATTGGAATTTAGTAGTTCTACTTTTATTTCAAGGAATTTAGTCATATACTTTTCAAAATTAAAAATTCAAGTTCAATTGTTAACACTGAGTCACTGCTAAGATTCTTCGGTTAAATTCAAGTCCATTAACGGCAGGATTTTAAAGGTATTAAAAATTGATCTTGAAGTATATTTTAACATACATTGAATTATCTACAGAATTGAAATCCGCAGCGGAATTTCTATTAAACAATCAAAGAACAGACAGGGTGAAGCACTACTAAGCATATAACTTGCAGGAACGTGAAGAGTAACCACTGGATTCCATTGATTCCAGAAAATCCAGTATTGATTGAAAAGTGAAAGAAAGAAAATCGAATCAGTCCAGAAAACAAAAGGAAAATAACAAACCAGCACTGCAAGATACAGGAGGATCCTTCTGGAGATCCTTCAATTCCTTGTTAATCCGCTTCGAAGCCATGCGATTCAATAAAACTCACTCAAGTCTCGATCAAACAATAACAACGGATGTTAAAACTGCAGCGAAAATCAAATCAAATTGAAATAATATAATCAAAATCTAAACCATCAACATAACAGTAAAAACAAGCGGTGATGCGGCGGCAAGTCAATCAAGTGTGGAGGCATTGAATTAAATGTAAAAAAAGTAAATTAAACAAAAGAGAAAGGAGAAAACACCGATCCAACGTAATCATATTAAAAACAACAACAAAACTTTTAAAATAACGAAGCAAATGATAGTAAATTAGTTGAAATTAATATCAGAACAAAATAAGAAAATCAGTTTTTATTAAAATTGTTGAAAATAAATGAAATAGATTACAGATAAGAAGTATGAATCTAATCAAATGGGGAGAGATGAACCTTGAGCTTGGCCTTTGGGTTTAGGCGTGTAGCAGCAGAAGAACAATGCTTTTTTTTTTTGGTGCTTTGGAATTTGGATTTGGTGGTTTTATTAATTAATTATTTAGAATAAAATTCAAATTAAGTGATAATACTGCAGAAAGGTTGTTGATGATTCTCTGCACGTGGCACGTTTTAGTCTCTAAATTATAAAAGATTTTATATAAAAGATTTTTTTATTAAACTAATATACGATTACAATGTATATATATTTTAATAATTTCGATGAATGCCTAATTATTTTTACAGTCATTGGTACTCTAATTATCTTTAGGACAACAATATTAAGACATAGTTTTTTTTTTACTTCAATTTTTTAATCCATATTAAGACATAATATTATTATTTGGATAAATTACACAATAGTCTCTCGATTATAGAATGTTATTTTATTGAATCTTCTAATTATCAAAAATTATAAAAGTTATCCGACTATAGCGTATTTTTTTATTGAGTCATTTAACTATTAAAATTTATAAAATAATCATTCGACTATTCATAAGTTCTAATCTCATCCTTTTTCGTTAAAAATTGACGATCTGAATTTGACGTTAACTTATTTAAGATATAAATATAAGAATTTGTTTGAATTATATTTTGTAGATCCGTTCTATGTTTACATGATATCGCTGAGCCAGTGTTTAAAACATTATGTCGTTGAGTCAGTGCTTGAAAGTACCGATGACATCAGTATATACATGGAAATATATTTTATCATATTCCAGTCAGCATGTTGACATTCAGCTTAGAAAACCATTAATTTTTAACAAAAATGATTAGTGGATTATAAATAATCAATTAATCATTTTGTAACTTTTAATAGTTAAGAGATTTAATAAAACAATGTTACATAGTTTGGGACTATTTGTATTCTTTACTCTATTATTTTTATATTAATTTTTGTTGTTATTAATATCATTAAAAGTAGTTAACACAACGTATATTAGAAGTGCTATGTTACTTTCAATTAAAAGTAAAAGAGATAAAATAATAATATTTCTATATAATTAATCAATTAATAAATCATATAGTGATAAAAAATGATATGATTTAATAACTAAATCATAATTTAAACTTTAGTATATATATATCAGAAAAAATAATTTTTTGAATTGTTGAATTTTAAAAATTTAAAGTTTATTTTTTTTTTTAAAAAAGAGTGAACTATTTTTCTAATAATATTTTTAAAGAATTTACATGAACATCTAAATTAATTAATTTTATATATAATATATATATATATATATATAATATATATAAATTAATAATCTATAATTGATTCCTTAAGTAGGATTGCTGAAACCCTAAATATCATATTGACATCATAATAAAAGTCAAGTATTGATAACAAAATATCTATGGAAAACAAAAACAACCCCCATCTGTCCTGTAAATCAAGAGGGTCCTATTCCTCCTTACATGAAAATCAACCAGAAACTTGTACAAAATTAAACCCAAAATCTTTTTTCATGTTTCCATCATTTACATGTCATTAAAACATAGTTGATGACATAGATGAGAGCGCGGATACTAGCGTGTCGGCACCCGTAAGCAATGGCGAGCTACTTATTTCGTGCACTCTCTTGCAGACTTCCTGAAAGATTGGTCGTACGTGCACCGCAATCATTTGGTCGCCCGGGTTGATAGCTGTGGCCACATCTACCATCCATGCAAGTTTTTCGGGGTGTGTCCTTGTTGATGTCGCATGCCAACTGCTGCAAGAGCGAGAGCAGCACTCCTTGGCTCAAAGGAAAAGGATTGGTTGACAGAATCGTCCGTAGATCGACCTAGTATGAAGAAAAAGAACGGTTTCTTATAATGCAAAGACTTCAACCAGAATTTCAAGTGAAAATTCGAGACACTTTAGATTTCATATAGGCTTACCTGTGAACAAACCCAAGCAACAATAGAGAGGTCACTTCTTTGCAGGGCAATTGTGAACGCTTCTTCATATTTGCCCTCCGATAATAATTTTGATAGCTCTTTCGTTGGATCCATGGGCACAACTACCTGAGGCACGGATAGAAATTCATTTAAGAAGTGATACTTAACAGCCAGATTTGACTCTGGCGATTCACGTTAAATGGAGCATTAGTTTCTAGTGGTGAAATCGAAGAAAATGGGCAAAACAAACATACCTTGTCATGCAGAGAACCTAAAGGTCCATTGCTGAGTTGGGAAGACAATGAAGTTGCAGCATTAGCGTTAGCTCCAGCAGCTGCAAGGGCTAAAATTTTCCTTTGTCCTTCAGCAAATTCCCCACTTAAGGTTTTAGCAATCGATGACGCAGAATTTATGGCATCCTGCAATCAGGAGAGATTACAAAGGAGAAAATGACACAATAATACTTTCAAAATAATGCACACATCGAACGAGAGTTCTATAGCAACAAATAGTATTGCATGCTCTAATGAATATTATTATACATCAAATTGCCAAAAAAAACCATCACACACCAACAATAATTCTTAGTTTCAGCATCTAACGCTCCAAATGTCATAAATCTTGGAAAAGAAACGAACTACCAGTCTTTGAGTGAAATAGTAAGTAAATAAGACACCGGAAATATACCCTTAACGTGGTTGCCAAAGAAGAATTTGCAGAGTCCAATTGCTGCTGAGCAGCATTCGTATGCTCAGCCATCCCTTTTTGAAATGCAGCATCTACTTGCTCAAACAAGGCTTTGCATGAAACCTCAAAGGCCGGGACCACTAAAGCTTCCACACTAGTCCTCAAAGCCTCCTACAACCAGAAATAGCCAGGAGCATGCAGAATGACAATAATTCGATCTTATAACAAGAGAATGAAAATATCCTTCTTGAGCTATCACCAAGTGTAGTGAACTTTTGCATACCTGGAGGGCTGCTTGCCAGAAGTTTTGAAACTGCGCTTGAATTTGTCTGGCAACTATAGCGTCGAGTTTGAATTAACAGATTTTTCTAGCTGATTCACTGCTTTATCTCCTACCCTCTCTGTTACACAAAGGACTAGTTAGATTCCACAAAGACAGCTTTCTAGGAAAAGAACTAGATTTTCAGAAGTCTAACCTGGAAAGACTCATTGATTGCTGAAGTTACAGTTTTCTCTATAGTTGGAGTAATGGTACGCACTACAGCTGGTCCAACTCCAGCCAACTCCTTCTTGATTACTTTGTCCAACATTACTGCCAAATCCTTGTTCATAAAATTGGTGATCAGGCCCGTCATCTGCTGTGTATGTTCTCGCAGCAGCTTCTCGTTTTTTGTGTTCTCTTCTTGGAAACGAGCCAATAGAGCATCGGTGTTGGCCTTAAGGGCTTTCTCAATGCTCTGTCCAAGAGCAGCCTCTAGCCTTTTGCCTTCTCTTGTAACGGGGATGTTCACAATATTTGACATTTGTTTCTGCATTTCCTTTGTGTAGTAATTAGCTGCGAAAATGATTGAAATCACAGTCAATAAACCATCTACAGTGCAGCAAAAATCTTTAAACCACATTTATTTAGAAAAGCAAGATAAAATAATGCTAAGCAAAATATATATAAGGAATAATATGTAAAAACGTGGTAATCATTTGGAGTTACCTAGGTGAACTTTTACATAAATGACTAAAGGAACGATTTATGGTACGATCAATGATTGTAACTATTAACACATAGAAGGGATGTGCATACAACACAGATGCATACATGTGTAACCAATTTATATATGGTTGTCCCTTGTTCCCATATGTAATGGGGTAAGAGGGAGGTAAGATAGTAGGCTGCCCCAACACTAGGTTGAGAGCAGCTTTCGTAGAAAACCTCCGAATTATGAAATGCCCTCCGTGGGACTCGATCCCACGACCTCAAGGATAAAAACCTTGTGCTCTACCAACTGAGCTGGATAGTCATCTCCTAACCAATTTATATATATATATATATATATATATATATATTTGTTTCTGTCCGTAGCAATCACCTGATTAAGCATATCTTGCATAGCCGCAATTTGAGGAAATGCAGCAGCCGCTGAGGGGATATCAGAATTTGCTCCTGGTTCAATGGAAGAATCTGCAGAATTGAAAGCACTTGAAGAAGGAGAAGAGTGAGCAGATGCCTGAGAACTTTTCCCTTTATTCTTTTTCCCTTTTCCACCTGGTGCCGGTGATTGTTGATATGTAGAAGGCATCGCTGATTCTGAGACCTTTCCAGACAGATCTTTCATGGAATCATTGTTTTCTTCCTCGCCAACATTAGGCTTCACATTCGACCCTGATGCACCAACACCATCTGCTTGCCTAGATTCGACAACGTAAGCATCCCTTGACATTGCAGAGCTCTCCCTCGACAACTGAATACCGAGATCTGAAGCCTGAGAGCAAAAGAATTTCTCTCTATTTTCAAAATTCCGATTTTCGGAGTTTCCGTAGGAACCAAATTCATTGTTCTGAGATGATCTCGTTTCACCCACCACTTTTACCTCCAACTCAGCATTGCGGTGCATCATTACTGACACCCACATCTTGAATATGTAACTCGCCTTCACCTTCCCCTCATTGACTTTAGTAGTTTCAGAAGATGTTGCGGCCATTAATATCTCGGGCGGGCTTGAGGATATCTCACTGCTCTTAAATTTTCAGAGTACTAACTCGTTTACTTGGTTTGGGAAACTGAAGTATAAAGCGGAACTCAGAAGGTTATTTCCAGATGGATCAAAAGAATCCATAGCCTTCAGTGTTGGCAGCATCATGTGAAATGCTTGAATCTGACTTCTCTAAGCCAATATTTTCCGGTGGTGGTGGGATGCACTGGCATAATTCCAAAGCATATGCTGGATAGCCTGTGTCTGAACACAATATATTTTAACAGTATGTTCATCAGGAGGATCACTGTCCCAGTAAACTTAATACAGGCATTGTGACAGTGAACTCGGCTATGTATCCATGCGTGATGCAGCTGGACAAGAACCATATTCTATGTGGACAGCATATATAGCATTTCTTTAGCATTGCAAGTAAGAAAAGGCCAGCTTGAGATAATGCAACAACTTGGTTGAAGAAAGCGTCTCCATTTGGGGTTCAGTAGAGC